CACATGCACCTGCCAAAGTTCTAACCCTGGAAGAAACATTGAAGGAACTAAGAATCTTGTATTTGAAGAAGTCAAACTATGTACATTCTTTTCTTACATTAATCATTATTTGGAGATTTATTTAAATCTCTGTAAGTCTCAGTTTACTCAAACATCATATGAGAAAACTAACAGTGGATCCTTCATAGAATTACCATAAGAAGAATGAAATAATCCAGTGAAGAAGGTGTTTGTCACAACAAGTATTTAATACTTTCAGCTAACATCATCACTATTGCTATTGTTTTTATTTTTGTCTATTTTCTCTGTCCTTACATATGATAAAGCAGAGGCAGAGTTTAAATTTATGATCATTTTAATATGATCACAATCTTAAACTGGATTTTCAACAATGATTCACTATGTTACTATATATTTTTAATTTTTGCTCTCTTAAGGAAACTAGTTAGTTTTCCAGTTTTCTCTACTGTCCTCCAGGTACTTACCTACCACTAATTCTGCCTCTCTTCACCCTCATAACCTAACCTTGTATTTAAAAATATCAACAAAAAGATAGTTGCAAATGACATATCAGATAAAGGGTTGATATCCAGAATCTATAAGGAACTCACCAAACTACACACCCGGAAAACAAACAACCCAGTGAAGAAATGGGCAGAAGAAATGAACAGACACTTCTCCAAAGAGGACATCCAGATGGCCAACAGACACATGAAACGATGCTCAGCATCCCTCCTCATCAGGGAAATACAAATCACAACCACACTGAGATACCACCTCACACCAGTCAGAGTGGCTAAAATGAGCAAATCAGAGAACTCTAGATGCCAGCGAGGATGTGGAGAAACGGGCACCCTCCTACACTGTTGGTGGGAATGTAAACTGGTACAGCCCCTCTGGAAAACAGTGTGGTGGTTCCTAAGGAAACTAACAATAGAACTCCCCTATGACCCAGCAATAGCACTGCTAGGAATTTACCCAAGGGATACAGAAATGCTGAGGCATAGGAGCAATGTACCCCAATGTTCATAGCAGCACTCTCCACAATAGCTAAAACATGGAAAGAGCCTAAGTGTCCATCAACAGATGAATGGATCAAGAAGATGTGGTTTATCTATACCATGGAATACTACATGGCAATGAGAAACCATGAAATCTGGCCATGTGTAGCAACATGGATGGACCTTGAGGGTGTTCTGCTGAGCGAAATAAGTCAGGCAGAGAAGGACAAATATCATATGTTTGCACATATAGGAGGATTAGGAGGAACTTGACGGAGGAACAAGGGGGAGAAGAAGGGGGGAAATGATGGGGGAAAGGGAGAGAGGCAAACCATGAGAGACTCTTGAATGCTGACAAAAACTGAGGACTGATGGATGTTGGGGGGGGGGTGGGCATGGAGGAGGGCACTTTGGGGATGAGCACTGAGTGTTATGTGGAAACTAATTTGACAATAAACTATTTGTAAAAAAAAAAATATATATCAACAATGGCCAAAATGTAAGCACATTGCTTCTTCCTACCTTAACATCACCAAATCTAAAGGGATAAACACACAATTCATGGTATCACTAGCCTTGTTCCAAAATATTCCCCATTAAGCTATTAGTTGCAAAATGTCAGTAAATGTTCCTGTCCTGTTCCCTACCCTGACAGACCAGCGAGTATCTGCTAACCAATAGGATTTTTATATTTTTTAACAGATAAATGGCAATTTTATGTATATTGTTATTTTATAGATTATCACAGTCTTAGAAAACCAAAAATTATAGCTTTTATAGACTGAAATTTGTCCTTTCAAATTCTTATGTTGAAACCCTAATGGCCAATGTGACTGTATTTCGATATAGGTTCCTCAAGTAGGTAATTAAGATTAAATGAGGTCACAATGGTGGAACCCTAATCTGATAATATTGATGTCCTTGACAGAAGAAACAGGGACTTTAAAGAGCTCTCTCTTCACAGGCATATAAAGAGAAAAAGCCATGTGAGGACTTAGCGTTAAGGAGGCCATCTGTAAGCCAAGAAGAGATCTCATCAGACACCAGCATTGCTGGTGCTTTGATCTTGAACTTCCAACCACCAGAACTGGAAAAAACTAAATTTCTGTGTGTATGTGTGTTTGTTTGTTTGTTTGTTTTTGTTTTTGTTTTTTACCCAGCCTGTGATATTTCATTTTGGCAGACTGAGCAGACCAATTTTGGTTTTTAAACAAAAACTACTATAATTTCCATTGGAAAGTTAAAGTTTATTTGAACTTTTTCAGTTTTCCATCACTTTATTTGATGTTTGATGGCACTTAAAAAATTATTGAAGAACCATGGGGAATTTGTATCACATTATACTTGCCTCAAAATATTTTGCTGACAAAGAAATCATGTAGAGAATATATGGATTATATATTCTTCACATGATACTTCGTTTTAAAAGCATCTGATTTCTCATTTGTATGAGAAGGAAACAACACAGATACAGAAAAGCAGCTCTTCTTTCCTTGACATTGAATCAGAAAATCTGTGGGATATTGCATTGAGGAAATGGGACTTGCTTTCAATTAATTATTCCAGTACTTAAGCAACTAAATGCTGATAACTAAAAAACAAAAACAAAAACAAACACAAAAACAAACCAAATGCCTAAAACTTAAAGATACCACTTGAAGACTAGGATGCTCCAGGAAGAGTTGTGGATTTGCCTCCCAGCATGTTGATATACTCTTACAAGTAATGGAAGAGGAAAATTATCAGCTGAACCTTTCCTTCACAGAAAATGCTTACCCATTTATATTTGTGGAAACTAATGTCTTCTTACATAAATTATATCATACCATTCTCTCCTTTCTGTGTAAAGCTCATTTCTACTAACATTTCTCTGTATCTTATCTATTCATCTGTATTACAAAAATAGTGCTCCCAAAATTTGAAGATTGTCTATACTTTAGCTGTTTTATTCTTACTCTTCTCATCCCCTCTCATTCTGTCAATATTAAATGAAAGTTCTTTTTTTTTTTTTTTTTTTTGAGCGAGTGAGAGAGCAAGTGTGCACACAAGTAGGGGAGGAGCAGAGTAAGAGGGGAAAGCGAGAATATTAAGCAGGCTCCACGTCCAGTGCAGAGCCTCATGTGAGGCTCAATCTCACAACCATGAGATCATTACCCGAGCAGGAATCAAGAGTCTGATGCTTAATTGACTGAGCCACCCAGTCTGCCCAAAAGTTCTTTTTGAAAAGATTCTAAATGAATCATACAGTAAACAGTATGTTTTTTTCTTCAAACATTAGCTCAGGGATTCTGCACATTGGAATCACCAAGATTTTGGACAGAATTATGCTTTATTATGTGTTATGCTTCTGTGCTTAGCTACATCCTTGCTCTTTATCCACTAGTTTCCAGTGGAGTAGCTCCCCCACATTTCACTGAAAATCAAAAATAGCTCCAGGTATTGCCAGATATCAGCTGGAGGACAAACCTATTCTTGGTTGAGCACAACTATGTTTACTACTTGTTGCTTTTACTATAAATTAGTAATTATTAAAACTCTACACACACAAGAGGGGTCTATTTAGATTCCAAAACTATTCATTTTATTAACATAATATAACTAGGTAAAATAGTCAAGTATTTTCTTTATTGGGCACATAGTAAAATAATCTACATTAATGACAGCCTGGTGAGACCTAACTACATAAAGTTTAATTTTCTCCAAAGGTCAGCTTCCATTCTTGATAAATGCTAGTCTTTATTTTAAATATTGTATTTTATGATGCTAGTTCATATCATTTGAAGTCATATCCTATCTGTAGTAGGCTATATCTAAATGTCAAGATAAAATTTTCCAATTTATTGCATATTTAGGTATTTCTGACCATAGAAATAGCCAATTGACATGCAAAGAATACTTGGTTTATTATCAAGTCTGTCGGATCATTTGGGCAGCAGAAATCCCTGGACCAGCACGATTGATATATGACATTCAGTTGCATCAAACCAGCTTCGCAGGGATTCAATTAATTGAGTGCGAGCCATTATTACTGTCAAGAAAGCCACACACATTACAGATTAGTTCACTCAGTATCAGAATAAAGCAACCCAGCATCTTAGTAATTATTTAGTCCAAATTTCTCCAGTGTGAATTTTCTCACAGATATTAACTCAGCATTGATTTGAGTACACCCAGACATGAGTTTTAAAATTCCAAGTCTTAGTGAAACCAATTTCACAAAATTAGAGATTGGAAATACTAGAATTATCTATGTTTTTAATAGGTTACAAATTCTGGGATCTTGTTAAATCATCTTTAATGCTAAAGCATTCTCAATCATGCTAAATACTTTGTTGGTATATAAGGATGAAGACAACAATGTTGAAGTGCTTTACATCTTTCTATTATAAAAGTATACAAGAGTGCTTTCAATAAAATATTTGAAAAGCCCACTATATAAAACATGACTTTGTCTTACCCTAAAACTTCTCTGCAAAACAAGCCTAAATAAGATAAATAAGTATTTTATATTAAAGCATTTTTAAGTCTGTCTTTACTGTTATTGGGTTAGTAGAAAGTTCATAAATATATTCTGAGAATGTTCAAGCATTTTTATGATGGTAACAGAAGTGTGCATATGAAGTTAAAACTCTGTCATTGAAGCATTTACTAATCAACCACTGATAATATTTACAATTTTTGTCAAAAACATTAACAAAATTATTCGAAGTAGTTCAGTAAATGCTTCTCTTATCTGTGGATATGTTTAAAAATGAAATGAGCTTTAAAAATTATTAATATCTGTGCGTATGATGGTGGAGTCAGCAGTATGGATTTGCCCCTAAATAATGATTTTGGAGAAGCATGCAGGTACATGTCTATATAAGCCCTCAGATGCTATACAAATACTTCTATAAAATAAAGACAAATTGTTTTGTATACATTTTTTGTCATTGTCTTATACTTCTCATTTTCTGGCTGTATTGCACTCTGTAGGGTCCCCGGTATACAATAAAAGTGGTGCTCGCTTAGGCAGCACATATACTAATGTTGGAAAGATACAGAGAAGATTAGCATGGCTCCTGGACAGGGAGGATAGGATAGAAGTGTTGATAGTGACTATCTTTGGTCTCAGAGAGAAAGCTATCAATATTTCAATGTTATATATGGTGGGGGTTTTTCCATACACATTATCAGATAATAGATATCCCCTTCTATGGTGAAGTTTTTCCCCCATCAATAATAGGTGTTGGCTTATTTGTGAAGTTTTTCCCTCTTATTGATCATATGACTTTTCTTTATTCTCTTATGAATGTTGCAAATCATATACCATAGTTAAAATGCTAAATTACTCTTTTACTAATGGGATAAGCTTTTCTATATCATCACATGTTAGTCTTGTTATATATTATTGAATTTGACTGACCAATATTTTGTTAAAGATTCTGCTTCCATGTGCATGAGAGATATTGATCAGATATGTTCTGACTTTTGCAATGTGCTGGTCAACTTTTGATATGAAGGTCATGTTGGCAACATAAAATTATTTCTTTCCTAAGATCTGAAAAGTTTTGCAATACTGATGTTATTTCTTTTTTAAATATATAGAAGAAATATGTGGTAAACCATCTGGACATAGGTTGTCTCCGTATTTTTTTTAAATTATGGACATGTTTTTATAAGATATATAACAATTTTTGGAGTAAGTTTCAGGGTTTTAGAGGAATTTGTCTATGTAGTCAAAGTCATTGCTAAAGATCATAAACACTTTTATTATTTTTATGTCTAGAACCTTCAGTGATGATCATTTGGGTTCTTTCTATTTTTGATCAGATTTTATAGGCATTTATCTAACCTTTTAGCATTGTCATTGTTCTCAACTGCATTTTATTTTTGACTTCACTGCTTTCTTCTTTTATCTTCATTGTGTTTTCCTTTACACTCTTTTTTTTGCTTGATTTTTTTTGGAACTTTTTGAGATGGCACTTAAGAGTATACATCTGTTTGAAAACCATGATAATTAAAAATAACTGAATTGATCCAATCTTCCAGTTCATTAAGGGATGAGCAGTTTATAAATAATAACTAGGTTACTTCACAGAACTTTTGCAAATTAGAATCAGTACAGCAACTACAAGAAATAATTTATAAGATTATTAGTTTTTCTTATCTCATTTAACCAAACACATGAAATTAAAGAATTTTTTCATTCCATTTGAAGAAAGTTTTTAAAAAATCACTGCAGGGGCACTTAGGTGGCTCAGTCAGTTAAGCATCTGACTTCAGCTCATGAGTTCGAGCCCTGCATCAGGCTCTGTGCTGACAGCTCAGAGTCTGGAGCCTGCTCTAGATTCTGTCTCTATCTCTCTGCCCCTCCCCTGCTCACATACTGTCTCTCTCTCAAATATAAATAAAGGTTAAAAATTATTAAAAAATCACTGCAGGTAAGACTTATCCAAATGTCCATGGGTTTCATACTGCCGATCCAGTATGCAATGCAAAACAGATGAAATGCTAAAGAACCTGTATGGAAAAATATCAGACATCTGGATTTGAGTTTGATAAATCAAGGCCTACATTACAAAAGTGTGAGTCATAGCTCAATTTAGAAAAAAAATGCAAAAGGTTTTTTTAAAAGGAATTATAGCTTGTACATAATTCTTTATTGACTAGCTGATGAGATAGTGTGTAAGTGGCATGAAAGCTCTGGGTGAAAATAACTAAGTGTCTTTAAATAGAAAGAAGCCATCATGCAAGTAGAAACTCCCTTTTCCTTAAAGTTTAAACACTTTTCCTATTTGAAGGAAGAATAAGAGAAGAAAGAAATGTTCAATAGTACAGCTCTCTAGAAGAAATAAAGTGCATCTCTTAATTCCTAAGTTCTTCTTAAAAATATATATTTATAACATGTTATATACAATTTTTAAAAAGGATATATGTGCTTTACACAACAACACAGTCTGCTATAAATAAGATATAAACTGGAAGCAATTATTTCTGTATATTATTTTAGGAAAAGTTATCATTTTTCTAATACAATGGTAGTTAATAACATAATAATAATAGTATAATAGTAATAATGGCATATTGTAAACTATAAAATTGATAAAAATTATGCGAGAAATTTACATATGTCAAACCATGGTAAATTACTTGTGATCTATTTTTAAAATATGTTTCATACAATACTATATGAGATAAACTGAGAGACAAACATTTATTTAGAATAAACCATATCATGAGAGAGATATTTGAAGAAATGTTTGATTAGGAGTAACATTATGTCTTTGAAAGAAACTTGTAGACATTTTAAAGGAAAGCAAAGCAACCAGCTGAAGCCCGGTGTTACACATCTTCACTATTTGTTCACTGGCTCTGACAAAGCCTGCAGTTTCACCTTACCTTAGTGCTCTGCCTCACATCAGTGATACACCATTAAAATATAGATCATCATCTACATTGTCTATCAATTAATGAATATTTGTTTGAAATATAGTATGTATTGCTTATCTCACATGCAATCTTATTCTCATGTTTCCTTATGACCATATCCATACTGTTGCTTTACACTGTTAGTGACCTAAAATGTGTCACTGTGCTATAACAACTCTCTTGCCCTTAAGGTCCTCATATGAGTGAAGTCACATGATAGTTGCCTTTCTCTGAAAGTAAGGGAAGGGAAAAACAATATAAAAACATGGAGGGGAGGACAAAATATAAGAGACTATTAAATATAGAGAAAAAACAGAAGGTTACTGGAGGAGTTGGTGGGAATGGGCTAAATGGGTGAGGGGCGTTAAAGAATCTACTTCTGACATCATTGTTGCACTATATACCAACTAACTTGGATGTAAATTTAAAAAATAAGTTAAAAAACAAAACCAAAACAAAATGAAAACCTCTCTTGGCTATATATCTTAACAACGCATAAGAACATGTGGGTTTTTTGTTTTGTGTTGTTTTTTACAATGTTCTCATTATAAAATAAATGTCATGGGGAATAATGTATATAGCATGATGAGTATAGTTAATAACATTGTACTGCATATTCAAAAATGGCTAAGAGAATAAATCTTAAAACATCACAGAAGGGACACCGGGGTGGTTCAGTTGGTTCAGCATCTGATGTTGGCTCAGGTCATGATCTCACAGTTCCTGAATCAGAACTCTGTATGTAGCTCTCTGCTATCAGCACAGAGCCGGCTTTAGATCCTCTGTCCCCCTCTCTCTGCCCTTCTCCCACTTGAGCTCCTGCTGTTTCTCTCTCAAAAAATGAATGAATGAATGAATGAATGAGTAAATAAATAAACAACTTACCACAAGGAAGAAATTTATGTATGATGACAGTTGTTACCTAGACTTATTGTAGAGCTCATTTTGCAATATCTACAAATATCAAATCTTTATGTGGTACACTTGAAAATAAAACCATCAACACTCTAGATACAGTGTCAGAAACTATAGAATAAATCATTGTTTGAGCTGGATAGGCACTAGGAATTATCTACTAACCTTCCTGCTTTCTGAGGAACGCTTCGTGGACTAATTGACAGAGATCCAAAGATCTTTGTGTTATACCTGAAGGTTGATGGTATATGCCAGAAACTTAGATACCCTTCCATACATACATACACACACACACACACACACCCTTACATATTCCCACTCCGTTTCTATTCTACAGGAATAGAAAAGTCATTTCTTATAAAAAAAAATAAAAACAAAAAAACCCACATGTGTTTTAGAGTCTAAGACCAAAGTTCAACGCCACATTTGTGGCTTACTAGCTTTGAATCTTAGACAAGTTCCTAATAATCTGGCAATGCCATTTACCATTTATATCTTTTGTTTCCTTCTCTGTAAAGTTGAGACTAATCATAGAATTTGTTTTATAGGACTGCTGTAAGGATCAAATGACACAGTGCTTAACAATTATAAAATCTCAACAACTTAAAGGGACCATAACACCTAACACATGATAAATGCACATTATTTAATAGCATTTGGTGTTTAAAACCCTGTGTTATTGAATGAGTCTGTCTGACTTAGAATCCCAGCTCTTCTAGTGTCTATCCAGTTACCTTGGGCAAATTATATAACCTCTCAAGTTATTGCAATGATTAAATTATCTGATTAAAAAATTACCTAATTAGTTGTGAAATCCTTAAAACAGTACATTGAATATATAGCAATATACAGTAAATGCTAATGTTTAGTAATGTTAGTGTTAGAAAAGAATATAGATATTAAAAATAATTATATTAACTTCCGCTTGGACACATTCACTGCTTAACCCTGGAAAGACATTTCTCTGGAAAAATCTCCATCCTTCTGCTGAGTGAAAGAGGAAAAAGTCCCTGGTAACTTAATGCTCAAAAATTCTATGGTCTATTGTATCAGCTTTATTGCACAGCACTGTATATTAAGATAACTGAACAGTGGGAGCATGACCCACTAATATACCTCAACCAATTATGACTTATGCCATATCAAAACTCTTACTAAAATAAGTTTAAATAGCAAAGTTTATAAAAATCTATTTATAATTTTTCCCTGACATGAAGTCAGTCTCATTCACTTGACTTCACATATGCTTTCTTGAGTGAAAGAGAGAAATAATAGTTACAGCAATGAAAATGAAGCAGGATTTATCTCCATTATTGATGCAAACCCATGGACTCAAGGGCCAAATGGGACTTAAAATATTTTCCACTGACTGCAGTAGGAAAGAACAAAAAAACAAAAAACAAAAAAAAACTAAGTTGCTATCATGCTTATAGACTTTTATGCTATTCAAAAGCATGGGAAATGTCCATACTCCTTTTGGGTTCCTGGAGGACTGCTATTTGCCTGTTCCTTCATCTCCCCAGTGCAGGCTAATTGGAGGTCCAGCCTTTAGGCAGCAGCTGGGAAGGTCAGGATATTCAATCTATAGTCTACCCCATGAGGGAGATACTAGGGTTGGGTGTTTTTATTCAGTCACTCTGTAATGAGCCAGAGGGAATGGTTGTTAGGAGTGTTTTTGCATCCACTAGAACCACCTATTTGTTTTAATGTGATCCTGGGGGACTCTTGAATGCCTAGTCTTATCAGCTCCCAGAGCTAGATAATTTGGAGCCAGTCTGTC